AATAGCTCTGGCCTGTGACTTCTCTGTCATGGAGAAGGGACAGTGAGACCAAAGCTCGACTTCTTCCAAGTCATCTTAAAGTTCCTGGGTGCACGCTGACGAACAGATGATGGGAGGCTGCCTCTGGGACGAGTCCATTATGTGGCTTCACAGCAAAATGGGGCAGATGGGCTTCCCAGCAGAAATGGTTGCAGATGAACACAGTTCTGCATATAGGTGCCTGTGTTTTTTACTGTTTATTTTTTTGTAAGGTGGGAGCAGACAAGGATTTTAAAATGTGTAGGCATTGTGCTGTGATTAAATGTGTGGCTGTCTGAAAGTCACATTCTTAAAAAAATAATTTTGAAATATAAACATGTTTTCTAACCACAGAAAAGTGCCTGGGAGTGCTGTTCCTCAGGAGAGTTTGCACAGCTCATTAGGAAGATCGTCTCTGCGGCCCGTGTTTCCTTACCACCTCACGCATCCCGTTTCCAATGGGATCCCCAGAGTCAGCTCCCCTAGACGTGCTGTTCTCCGAAAGCTGCAGAGACCACCTCACTTGGTGGGATGGGCAGTGGGGTCCAGGGACCCAGCACAGAGTCCCTGCTTTGGGCTCCCCGCCTTCCCCAGGGAGCCAGGGCTTTTCAAACTTTTAGCCAGAGCTGCCACTACCCAGAGAAATTCAGTAAATTGTGGTAAATTTAAATTTGCACAAGAGTTTGACTTTGGAATTTGAAATTTTGGAAAAGAGGGAAGAGACACTCTTTAGTGAACAAGAACTCAGGGAAGCTCCTTGCATTTTGATTTGTTTTCAGTCCCACCAGAAAGTATTTGCCAATGTGCTTGCTCTGGAATGGGAGAACAAGGCATCCAGGTGAGCTCAGGCGGGGGGGGGGGGGGTTCCCCCTTCCTTGAAAGTTCAAGCCAGTCCCCTGACTCTGATTTTCATTCTTGAGGACAGAACAACAGCAGGCACCAAGCGGGTTGGATGGCTTCTAGAACTAGGAACAAGCAACCAGACGAACCCAAAGAGGGTTACTGATAGAGATGCTGGTGGTCAAAGACCAGAAACCAAAACTGCCTAGGGAAAGCGGAGTGTCATAAAGGCCTATGGGGAAAATGTGAAGAGGCCCAGTCTTCCAATCTGGCTGTGGTTTTCAGTGGAATGAAAGAGGTTCGTGATGAAGGATAGTGTCCAGGGGCTCAGCAGCTGTGCAAAGCCACCCAAGGGTAACCCTGTGAACTTTGGTGGGCTGCCCTGCTTTCGTGCCAGAGGGGAGGACTTGTGGCCTGCGCCGGGTCTGGGCTGGCTTCCTGGGACTGCCCAGGGCTGCTCTGGGCGAGTCACCCTGGCCTGGGAGGAATCAGGTCCTCGTATGACTCAGACTGGAGTGTGATGGAAGCCGCAAAAGCTCTTGGGAAAGAGACACCAAAACAACAACAAATAAACACCCCCCACACAAACTCTAGGGTCATAGTAGCCCCTACCTAGACTTTTCCAATCAAAGGATCCTAATAATTGCCTTGAAACTCACCTGTCTCCTAAGTCTGATCTATTCCTTGTCTGGAAGAAAATCAGTATTTCCATTCTAATAAAATATGTGGACAGTACAGAACACTTGTAGTCCCCCCGCTGGTGTTCTCTCGGGTTCCTGCCCCTTCCTACATGCTCCCGCCCCTCTGAGCACAGCGGAATCAGAGAATTTCCACGTTGGAGGTCCAGCCTCTTCAATATGGTTCCTGGGAGCTAGAGGTAGGAGAAAGGAGAAAGAGAAGTTTTTGCAAAAGTGTTTCAAGTCTTCAGAAGTCAAATATTCATTCATTCAACAAGTATTTATTGAGAATTTACCGTATGCCAAAAAGTGGGGTTAGGAGGGCCAAAAGTAAAAAAAAAATACATGTTGTGATCGAGTACAATGAGGAAAACAGCTGGTCGAGTGAACAACTGGGGGTGGAGGTGGGAGAAACCCACTTTCGAAGGCTGGTGGAAGAAGACCTCTCTGAGACTGGGGTCAGCCGAGTCTTGAAGGAGCACACCGTCCAAATAGGGAGGGAACAGTCTAGGCTGAAGAACAGCAAAGGTGAAGGCTCTGAGGTGGCAAAGAAGAGTGTTTGGGGGAAAACCCTCCACCGTGTGTTTGTGGAACTGCCCATCAGTGAAGCTAGAGCTCGTGGATGAGGCAAGGAGTGGAAGGAGAGAGGCAGAGATGCTTGATTTTATTCCAAATGCAAGAAAACTCACTGAAAGTTTTTAAACAGGAGAATGAATGGCATTATCCATGTTTTAAGGAAATCACTCTGGAAGGAAAAATCACGGTGGCTGAAGTATGGAAAATGGATTGTAGGAAGTTGAGAAGGGAGGCAAGAGGACCAGTTAGGCTGTTGGAAGTGTTGACAGGAAAGAGGAAAGTGACTTGGACTAATGCAGGGTCAGGGGAAGAGTACTCAAGATTATTTTGGAATTATCCTGGAGAATCAGCAGAACCTTGAGGAGAAATGAAAGCTGTCAATTCGACTTCTTGGTGGTGCCTCAATACTGAGATGGGGTCGACAGGGCAGAAACGGGAGCAGGGGATGAAGATCACCACTTCTGTTATGCCTGTTAAGGTACACAAATGTGTCCCATGTCATTTGACCTTAAATCTAGAGAGAGCTCAGACCGGAGATATAATAGTGGACGCTGTCTGTACAGAGGTGGAGTTTGGATCATTGTACTGAGATGAGAAAAGAGACAGGGAGCCCCAGGAAAGGGGACAGAGAAGGGAGAAGAAAAAGCCGGAGTGTGGAATTAGGAAAGCCTAGGTACTAAGGAACGGCAGGTACTGCTTTGTAATGCAACTGCCCTTGGGCTCTGAGCACTGACTGTAGACCCATACTTGCCTGAACAACAAAGTAACCTGTAATTTGTACAGCACTGAACTGTTTTTAAAGTATCATATATTTATTAGCTAAACCTTTAAATCAGAGAGATGACAAGTTATGGTCTTTTCACAGAGTCAAGTGCTACAGGAAAAAGCTGAGATTTGGAGAGAAGCGGGTTTGTGGAGCCTTAATCTCATCTGTAAATTGAAGACAAAAGCCCCGTTTCCTACCCAGGTGTGTGCGCGGACCACGTGGGGGCGCTGTCTGTGAAAGCTGGGACAACACTGTCACTACTTCTGAAACAAAAGGCTGGCGAGGAAGGCCCACGCCTTCGCACTGGGTAGGCACCATCTGCCCTACAGAAAAGTAACGGTTACCAGCTGACAACCTCGTGTGAAGGCAAGAACACAGCGCTGGGTTTAGAAGATGGGGCCTGTTAGCGGATCTCCACCTAATGGCGACATTTCAGTCTGATAAGTCTAAGTTCCTGTTTTCCAGGATCCTTGGGGCCACATTTCGGTCTGAATCTGTCTCTAGAGAGAGTGGGTCAATGAGGAGGGTGCTGGGTGTTCTGAGGCCACTTCAGATCAGCAGTTCACCTCTTACGCCAAGTCCTTATGTTATGTCAATGAACGCTGGGACTTGGGGCCAGCCAAGGCGCTCCGTACCTGGCTCTGCCGCAATCCCCAGGGAGCCTGGGAAACACAAGGAGTCCCAGTTCTGCTCTTCGACTCTGGTCGGGCAGGTCTGAGACTTGTCCACAAGCTCTCTGGAGGACTGAGAGGCAGGCAGGATGTGGGGCTGGTAGAGCCCGGGTATCACACAGACTAGAGGGTGTGATTGGCAAGCCAAAGAATCTTATAAGAGGAAAGAGACCAAATATGTGAAGGTTTCAAGGTGAGGCCTGTGGGAAGTCCCACGTGGCTTCCGACTGGATGGTCACCAGGCACCCCACCCCACCGCCCAGGTCCAGGCAGCCTCTTGCCTGATGTGTGGACTCACTGAGCAGCCAAGGTCTTGGCTGCTCCTGAAGTGACACAGCAGCTGATTCAAACAAGCGGCACACAGCCACCTCCCACTCCAGAAGTGGATTAGGTTTCCTTTCCTGCCAGCACAGCTCTGAAAGGTTCTCTTCTCCCCTTTGAGATGACAGCCCCTGCAGAAGTGTTTTTGGAAACCCTCCCTCAGTCACTACAGGTTCACCCCCATTGACTGCAGTGTGGAAGGAAGGGGCCAAAAGATAAACTCTTGACACTAAGCCCAGAATGCTTTGTAACTATGAGAAAAAAAAATAAAAATAAGGGTGAGAGTACAAGGTAAAACCCCTGCTGTCACCCTCCCTCTGTCAGGCCTGTGATTCTGGGGTGTGTGCACCATCCTGCCTTTTCAGAGTTTTATTGCCTCCTTTAGTTTGTGTCTATGATCTGATTGCTTTTGGGTGTGCAGTGGAAAAGCAACATTCTTCCTCCAAGACGAATAAAAGTTGTGACTGGCTTCGCAGGACAGCTGTGCGTACCCAGGTTTAGACTCTTTGGGAGCTTATGGGGCGGGTTTCACATGCGTGACAAGTCAAGCATATACTTCTAGGCTCGTCGCTTGAATAATCAACTGTTTTAAAAGACAGAACTTTCTCTGAATTCCGTAAAATAATATTTGATAACACTTGACATGGGGAGGGGGGAGTCTAAACTTTAGACACTAAAGAAAACATCCAATCATTCATTCACAACAGAGCAAAACTTTCACATTCTTTAAAAGAAATTTTTCAAACATACAATCCCAATGTGAGTGCTGGTTTTTTTTTTGTATTTTTTAAAAAGATTTATTTATTTATTTATTTTTAGAGAGAGGGGAATGGACGGAGAAAGAGGAGAGAAACATCACTGTGTGGTTGCCTCTCGCACACCCCCTATTGGGGACCTAGTCCACAACCCAGGCAAGTGTCCTAACTGGCAATCGAACTGGCAACCCTTTGGTTCGCAGGCTGGCACTCAATCCATGGAGCCACACCAGCCAGAGCTTGGTATTAATCTTTAGAGAAATGAAGTTTGCTACCACTGTACTAGGGCCTGGGGGGAGTTTATACGGACAGTAAAACTGAGACAGATGGATATTTGTGCAGGATCCCTTTGCAAATGAAGATCAAAGTCAAAAAGAAAAAAACAAATTCACTTTATTTTAGACAATGATTGGCATACAGAAGGTATGCACCAGCACAAAATAAACTTTCATGAAAAGCATTAAAATCCATTATAAATTAATTTATTAAATAGGTATTTGGTATATGTGATGGTTTTATTAGATATCACTCTTATTTATTGCCAACCCCCTCCCCCAAAGTCAAAACAAATCAGAAAATCTCTTAATTCCAATTTACACTAAATAATTTATTTTCCCCAGATGTGTATGTGTTCTGAGACGCGACCATGATACAGTCCGGCTGGTCATTCTCTACCGACCATAACATGACAGGACACAAGAGGCTAAAAATGGCTCATCATAATTTATTTTATGTTAAAATGTACAGCTTTTTTTGTTTTTGTTTTTGTTTTTGTTTTTTTTTTGGAAGTGACTGACTAAAAAGAGAACAGATAAATACAAGAGTGTCGCTGGCTCCTATTTTATACAAGGATTACGCCTCCCCTGCTTGGCCCTTACAGTCACCCTGTACAGGTACAAAGGCTACAAAAAAGGAAGCAATATAAACAGACACAAATAACTTTTTTTTGCTTTTTTACATGCGATTTGTAAGCTTAGTTTGAGCTATTCACAAGCTACTTCTCTATTTTTCCTTTAAAAATAACTCCAATATTTTATAAAGATAGAAAATCTACAGATGGAATGAAAATGTAAAGTTAGAGGCATTTCCATAAAATAGCAACTTTACACCAAATTCACTATTTTTTTTTAAATCCTGCCAAGTATTTGGACATATATGAAATGTTTCAAAACCTGACAGATAAACACTGAGATATGCTTCATTCAATAAACAGAAGTCTGCATTTATAAAACAGAAAGCTGCCTTTTTTTCCCCAAAGAAATCTGTCACCAAAATGGAAAAGGGTTTCAACTTTACACCAAACATTTAGCAATAAAACCCTTTTGACTAACCAAATGGGAATAGCTTTTATAGCTCTTTACAGTTTTATAATTAACAAAAATATAGTTTTTTTTAAACCCTCAAATTAGGGCACCCTAATCAAGGCAAAAAACTTAAGAAATGGCTTACCGTTAGCACAACACTTGTACAGTACTACAAAACGCACTGTCACTAACAAAGACATTAGCGGCATGCTGGAGTGTCACCTTAAACAAAATATACAGTAACTGAAATGCTAAAGGCATTTACATGGAGTGGACAGGGAAGAACAAAAAGCTCTAGGTTCAGTATTAAAACAGATGATTTGGGGGTGCGGGGCTTGATATCCACATTGTTTAATGGAAGCAGGCACAACAGTGGCTGCCTCCAGTTGTAGTCCAAAGAGAGGCCTTCCTTTGCAGAGAACTTCATATAAAAGTAACAGAAACAAAGGTACCAAAAAAGAAAAAAAAAAAGGAAGAAAAGAAAAACAACTCGTATAAGGCTTTCTGCTGCATACAGCTTTTTTTTTTTTTAAATAAATGGTGCCAACAAATGTTTTTGCATTCACACCAATTGCTGGTTTTGAAATCGTACTCTTCGAAGGTATTTGTGCAGATCAATCCAATAGTGACGCCCAGGGGTTTTGTGACTGCCCATGTTGCCTACCTTCTCATGTAGGACCCATTGAGAGACTGTTTGGACATGCCTGTGTTCATGTAGCCATGGTGTCCAGGGGCCGTGTACATCATATTACCGTGGGGTGGGGTCTGCATTGGCTGCTGGGCATATGGCTGGGTCCCCATCATGCCCATCTGCATCTGCATAGGGTATTGGGGTGTTTGATTCATGTAGCCATGATTGCTGTGGTAGCCACTGTTCATCATCGGCTGGGACATGCTGTACCCATTCATGGCATTGAGAGTGTTCATGTTCATGTTCACAGAGTTGACATTGTAGGCTGGGGCTGGCATCAGGTTCACACTCATGTTCATGCCTCTTTGCATCGCTAAAGTCCGTGTAGGACCCTGCATGGCAACAGTCTGAGAGCGCCCATAGATTTGCGACTGATGGGTGGCAGTGGCTGGTGACAGAGATGCCGATTTGGTTCTCATGGAGACGTGGCCCTTGCTGGCAATCTGGGTTTGCAGTCTTTGGCTGTGGGAGATGCCAATATTTGACGCAGCCATGTTCCGTTGCAAAAGAGGCGGTGGCAGGTTCATCGGAGGAGGAGTTAGGTTGGGGGGTGGGGTCATGGTAGCTTGTGCTTGGGGTCCCCCAGGGACAGAGTGTGGAGACTGAGAAAGCTGAACAAGCCCTGTGTTACTTAATGGTGTGGACAAAGAGGCACTGTTTGCATAGGAAGTTACAGCAGCGGAATGGCTGTAAGGCAATGAATGATCAATAAGTGTATTAGTTAACTGCTGTAGTTTGGCAAGGCTGAAGGTGGCTGACGGCTGTGGGTAGTGCCCAGCCCCAAAATCACTTTGACCCATTCGTTCATATAAGCCAATGTTGGTGTTGCCGGTCTCGGGCATCTCAGCCAGCTGCATGGGCGGGGTGAAGTTGGCAGCCAGGCTACACTGGGCCAGCTGCTGGCTGCCGCTCGGAGGCCTCTCCACCACGCAGCCTTGAGGAGACTTGACGCTGCAGGTCGGGGGAGAACTGATGCTGGTCTGCTGCAGCATGCTGCAGCTCCCGCTGATGTTGGACATCTGCTGGGTGACAGCACAGCTGCTCTGTGTCAGATTGCTAGAGGTGAGGTTGCTATAGGAGCAGCTGTTCTGTGAAGAGCCGTTTCCACAAATGCTGCCACCCATAGTAGAATCGTAGCTGCTTGGATTTTCGTAGTTCTCGGTTGTGCTCTCGATACTGCCCAGGTCACTAAATCCGCTGTCAACGACTTGTTGTGAATGATCTGAAACGGATGGGACGTCCATCATGGGACTGGTTTCCATGTTCTGCAAAGATGGCACTGAGATGGCGTTTTGATCGGGGCTGATTTGGGCATAGCTGTTTTCCAGGGCAGGGACACTTGGACTGCTGACAGAACGTACTGACTGGCCAGGATGGGAGTGGACGGATGAAACTGGGCTACTGTGGTTTGACTGTTGGCAGTCGTCCAGAGTGGCGGCAATCTGTGGACTTTGGTCTGCGTGGGTGTAGTTCTGTAGGCTCCTACAGGCCTCTTGAGTCTCGGCACAATCCTGAAAGGTGTCATCCTGTTCACTGTTCTCCTGGGTCAAAGACTGAACTGCCTGGACGGTCTCAGAGTCGATTTCCATGGTTGCTGTACTTCCCTCTTTGAACTCAGAATCCGTCTCGTCACTGTTCTTTGGGTCCTGTCTCTGTGCCTGTTCATCAGGGGGTTCCTCATCAGATTCAGGTGCAGGTTCAGTGTCTCCAGAAAGCTCCTTAGGTTCACTGTTACATGAAGCTGCAAGGTCAATGCCACAGTCCATTAAGACCTCTGGGTTTGAATGACTAGGCTGGACACTAAGGTCTAAAAAAGCCCCCTGGTTTTCCAGTACTTCTTTGAAGGCTTCTCTGGGGCGTTCTTCCTTCTCGGCTTCTGCAGACTCCATGTGACTGTCATCTTCATCATCTGCATCATGACCCTCATTGTGAGACGGTTCTTCATCCTCTTCTTCCTCCTCTTCATGATCATCCAAACGCACAGGGTCGTCTTTGTCCATACAGACTTCCGGTTCTTCTTTTTCCTGACTTTCAGTACCACTTAGGTCTTTTTCTACATTTCCTTCTTCTTCTTCTTCTTCTTCTTCTTCCTCCTCCTCCTCCTCCTCCTCCTCCTCTTCATCCTCTTCTTCATCCTCCTCCTCTTCCTCCTCAGGTTTGATTGGATCGTCTTCTGGTGTTTCTCCTGGTGATTTATTGGGACTTACAGGTGCGCATGTTTCCTCCTTTCTGTTTTCATCCTGGGGCAGCAGGGGTTCTGCAGCTTCCCTGACCTCCTCCTCAGTCCTGGTGGGGGTGGGGCTGCTCTTGTCTCCCAGAGTCTCCTTCTGTTCTTCCACTGTTACCTGCTCGTCAGGTTCCATGGGTGTTTCTGGAGGAGTGTACAAGTTCAGTTTAAATCCGGTCTTCCTTTCTTTGCTTGGTCTCCACTTAGAGAGACCACGCTTTGATCCTTTTGGCCATACTTGTTTGCACTTTAGAGGTTCAGGATTGTCTCTACTGCCTTCTTTTAAGTTATTTGCATCATCATCCATATTGTCTTATCAAGGAGACAGAGAGAAAGGGGAGGAAGAAAAACAAAGTCTTAGAAAGCATAACCACGAACAACTTGAATTCATTCCTCTAAATTAATTAGCAAACACTGCTTTCAATTTAGCCTTTAAGAGCTCATGGTAAAGGCACAATCAAGGCTAATGTAGAATAATACTGCAGTATAAACTGAGTAAATCACCTGGGCCTGGGAAAATATGTACGCCGCACACAGAGAGGCACACATTCATGCCCACGCGCACACACACACACTCTCTCTCAACAGAAAGGCGTACTTTTTATAGGAAGCACATGGATGGATACAGACAACTATAATAAACTTATTTGAATTTAACAAATAAGATATTCTCTAATGCCCAGAATTCCACATTGTAAAAAAATCTATTTGAACATTTACAAACTAGGAAATATGGGGAAAAGGGTTAGCACTAGCTCATATCCAAATCACCACTGTACTGAAGAAATGAATAGAAGCCTAACTCACATATCTATCCTGAGAAAGTAAACTTCAGTGTGTGGACAATTACTGCATTTAAATGATCTCATATGACATTATTTACTTCAACTGAATGTTCTTTCTGGCATAAAAATAAACTGTGTACCTCTGAAACAAATGAATAAATAACTAAACACATCTGTAATCTACTATAGTATCATAATTTTTGCATGGCATAAACTGTAATGTATTTACCATGAAATTACTGAACATTCAAAACACAGGTATTCTTTTTATCACTAATTCTGTCCAGACTGTATTTTGGATCAATTGCTGCTTAAATGTATGGTTTGAATACTAAAGTAAATAAGAAACAAACCATAATTGTCAAGTTCATTTTAGTTCAGCTAATTTTATTTTAACTGTGTCTGTATGCACATATGAATATAAGTATCTAAATATATTTACATAGATATAAGCAAGCAAACAAGGAAACACATGAATCAATATAGACATAAAACACCCAAGTCTTAAGATCTTTAGAAAATTAAAGATCATACCGATCTCCTGGAGGGTCAACATAAAGACACAGCTTTATAAAGAGAAATAACCTTATTGGGAGATCAAACTTTGGAGAACTTATTTTAGGGAACAAAAATAAGATCTGATAATCAATGTGGAACAGAGAGAGAGATCTCTTCTGCCAGAATGGAGTGATTTCTAATCCAAACAGCGCAGAGTAGGGTGAGCTTTCGGCTCATTTACGGAGTAAAAAGATTACACACAAACTTACCTGCAAGTACTACATTCAAATTGGCTAGCTGAAGAGGGCACATGCGACGTGGACGGACGCCTTCAGCAGTGCAAAGCACAATACCTAGTTAACAGACATCTCAAGATGTTCAAATGGTTTCATTTCTATCCACACAGGCAGGAGATAGCCATGCCAGTGCCCTTGGATCCTACATTCTTATTCCACGTGCTGCTGGACCTACCAGCTTTTATAGGAGGACTCTCTAAATCAGGAGATGAATTTTCTCATAATTAGTTTTTAAGAAAGAAGATCCTGAAAGGAATCAGGTGTTAACATGACCATTCAGAACTTTTAAAAAAATGTTTTAAAGATTTTATTTATTTATTTTTAGAGAGTGGGGAAGGGAAGGAGAAAGAGAGGGAGAGAAACACTGATTGGTTGCCTCTCAGACATGCCCTTGCCCTTAATGGGGACCCGACTCACAACCCAGGCATGTGCTCTGACCAGAAATCGAACTGGCGACCTTTCTATTAGTGGGACGACAGCCAACCAACTGAGCCACACCAGTTAGGGCACCACCACTTAGAATTTTTAAAGGTAAATGGCACCAAGTGGAGAAAAAAGCAGTAATGATTCATTTGCAAGCTCCTGAGAAGATGGCAAAGAAGTAGTAATAAGGCTTGATTTCCACACATGAAAACTTGCTGCAGCTTACTGTTGTTTATGTTTGTTTGTTTGTTTGTTTGTTAAAAAAAACCAAAAGAACAAGGCTTGGTTTCTCTATACCAAGGGTAAGATGCTATTTGCTCAGCAAAATAGTGTACTCAGCAATAGTATTCCTGTTAATTAAGCAAGTCAAGAAGATGCTTGCTCATGCTTTTAAAATCGTGGCTTTTCAAAAATGAGAGTGATAACCTGTGGTGCCCAGGGAACTGACACGGCCTGTCCCCCAGATGGGAACACAGTAAGGTTCTGACTACAGTCATTTCAACAGTCGAGTCGAAAGCCTGTCCCACAGTATTGGCCCAGATGGGAGCATGGGTTCCCCGACCAAAAGGCCAGGGGTGGCTGCTTATGGGTAGGACATCAAAGATGGTGTTTTAGTTTCTTTTTCTTTTTTTCTTAAGAGGACAGGGTGGATTGTCCCTGCCAGCAACAACTGTAAAACAGTAATTTAAAAGGAAGGGCAGTTTCCTGATTTCCACATTATCCTGTGTTACCAAAGCTGACAGTGATGGTGTGAGTTTAGATGATTCTTGATGATAATATATCCTGAGGTACCACTGATTTTAAGATGCACCATCAATTTACTAATATTTGTTTTGCAGGAAAAAAGAAAGCTATTGCATTCCATGTTCACACTGATAATAATATATACCCTGATTTCAGAAATATTAAATGTGGGGAAAAGTAATATTAGAATCAGGAAATGCTGTGTGTTTCTTATTGACAGACTTCAAAGTTTTTGAAGACAAGCCAATTTCTGGAACATAAGATGAACTCACCGAGAGGAAAGCCATTTAACATAAAATCCAACTCTAGGAAGAAGGGACAGAACCTTTATGAATGAGAAAGGACAGATGAGCACTTATTTCTGGTGGGTCCATACATCCTCAGAGATGCCTCTGGGCATGACTCGAGGTGACTGCTTTTTGGCAGGAATGTGCAGATATTCACAAGGGTAAGGTTTTTATAATTCCTCCACTTACTTCTACAAGGGTCAGCATTCTTAAAGCAATGATTGTCTTTTCCTCCCTCTTCCTCTGTCTGTCTTTTCTTCCCAGGCTGATGTTGGAATGCTTTCCTCAGGACTGGCTTCCCGCCGTCTTCCTCCACATCAATCTCACAGGTAGGCTCCAGCTGCGGCATTGGCCTCTCTTCGTCTGAGTTGTCAAAGGGCTCATTCAGCACTTCTGTGGTCTCGGAAATGGTCTCAGTTGTTACGCTGCTGTTGATCCTCCTGCGTTTACGACCCCTTTTCTTCTTTAGTACAAAAGGCCTCTGAAATTAATTTCAAACACAATACACAGAGCTCATGAGAAATTAAATGGTTGAGTCAATATGTAGCAAACATGTACTGAACGCAAGTCTAAGAATCTCATACATAAAGACTTCTGTACTGCCTTTGTACTTCACCTTCCATTTGATGTTTAACATCCCTCTCAGGCTCCAGCTACATAGGCAAGTGCTTCCCAAACAAAACACTTGTTTACTCAAGCAGACACTTTGAGAGAGAACATCCAAGAAGCTTAAAATGTAGATTTTAAAGCTAAGGTTTGCTTTTCTAGCACTTGTTTTCCAATGGTTTTTGCTGGCTTCAGTGTCCTGTACATCATAGCCATTAAGTCAACATGAACAGCAATGTTTCTATAAATGTTGCAACAATTAACTAGGTCACTCATTTAATACTTGGTAACTGCTCGAGGAGCACCTACTACATTCAGAACAGTCCAGGGAATATGATGGCGTATAGGACCAGCCTTGTTCCCATTTCCTAAGATGTAAGGAACAATGAAAAGGGTACTTAAAGGATTAAAATGTTAACAGATTCATTTAATTGGTGGTTGCAGAGATGTCAGCAATTGATAATTTTACAAAATATTTTAATATAGAAGGCACCTAAAAAATAAAAGACATGAGATCTGTCTTATTTATTTATAATATACATTTTTTTCTAATTGCACTAAAGGTTGGCACTCCCTATAACTGCAATTATAAAACATTTTTGCAAGCAAAATGCATTTATGGCACAAAATTAAAAAATAGGAATAGTACAAAGGTTTTTTTTTAATCCTCACCCAAAGACATTTTTTTTTTCATTGCTTTTTTAGAGAGAGAGGGAGGGAGATAGAGTGAGAGAGAAACACCAACTGGTCACCTTCTCACATGGGCTCCAATCAGGCACCAAACCCACAACCTGGACATGTGCCCTGACCAGGAATTGAACCCACAGTCTTTTGGTCTATGGGAAGACACACAAACCAACTGAGCCTCACCAGCCAGGGCTGGAATAACAAAGTGATTTGCTGCTAAAATGTGTATCTGTCAATACTATGCCCCCCAAATTACTGAAAATACATTGCCAAGAAGGGTGCAATATGATGGTTCCAAGTCCAACTCTAGGCAAACGGTATCCAAGAATTATTGTGTTTCACATTTTTAACTCTCTGAGTGTCCACTAAAATGCACATATAAGCCTGATAATCATATCCTATAATTTAACATTTACGGTTATTACTCTCCCAATTGGTTTGTCCTTCCTAATCCACTAGAATTTTTCCCAAACATGAGTATAGCCTATAAAGAGCTGGTTTTCTTTAGGTTGAGTCATTTATATGATGGTATCCATATCATGCCTTGGATGATTCTGGTTTTTCATATTTTTAAAACAAATTTCTTTGGTTATATACATAACACATGAATATATATTCCTTGTAAGAAATCAAAATATTTTCGTAAGCCTAAAGTCCACTTTATGGGATACTCCTTTCTACCACCTCCCTGCAGTGGCCCTTCCACTCAAAGATTCCAGGCTTTGAAGAAGGCGCACTGAGCTGGGGATGAGAACAGCAGGTTCTTTACTCTTAACTCGTATTGGGTCATCACTACTAGCCTTGGCTGCCCTAACATTATCTGGCTTCCTCTATAGCACAGATAGAAACTAGAGACAAAGATATCAGATCTGTATTGAGCAACTGTCCAGAGACAAAATCAATTTTTTTTCACCTTTTGCACAGGGTGTATGTAGAGAAACCACCAGGCCACTAAGAAATGAGGAATTTCAGTAATGGGTACTTGGCCACAAACACAAAATAGTGGCATCCAAATGAATGGCTTAAAATAGCTTCTAAAAATTCTATGCCAAGAACAAGAAGAAGAAATAGCAAGAGGAGTGCTGGGCTTGGAGTCTGAGCGCGCACCTGGTTCTAGCTCCAGAGTGGTGTGACCCTGGACAGGTTTCCCAGCCTCTTTAGGCCTTGGTAGTTTCAACAGAATTTGCTGAAGACCACTCGGCAGGGTCCTTTTCTGTTCCCATAGCCTGACTTACTCTAGTCCCACAAACCAGCAGGTGGCAGTAACTACTAGACTAGAAAGCCAGCCTACCCCTGGTTTCCTGTCACAGCACTAACAAACCTCAAAAAATAAACACAATCAGTACTGTAAGATAAACGATGATGATATATGATCAGTGGGAGGATACAAATAAACTACATCTAAAGAACAGAGAATGAAACAAATACTAATAGAATGCAATGACAAGATTTAATTGAAACTGACTCAGACTGAAAATCTAAACAGGCACATACCTTTCTCTTTATGGCAACTGACTGTGGTTTAGTTAATCTTGGAGGAGAGCTCTGAATATTTTCTTCTTCCTCTTCTTCTTCCTCTTCCTCCTCTTCCTCTTCCTCTTCCTCCTCTTCCTCTTCCTCTTCCTCTTCTTCCTCATCCTCCTCTTCTTCACTGCTCTCTTTAGGCATCTCTATCAGCTGCCCTCGTTCCCCTGCCACTGGCCGTCTCTCCGGGGAATGCAAATATTTATTTTTCGATTGTACTTTTGCAGGTGATTGCCTACTGTTAGCTCTGGATGACAGGATTTCTTGCTCCTCCTTTTCCCAGCAGCTAGCTTGTTCCATTAGCCGCTCAGCCTAAAGGGGGAGGGTAAAAACGGCAGGCGGGTGAGAGGGCAGTCAGGCAGCCAGAACCTCTAAGGATCAAAGGCAAAGGATCTCTAAGTCATTTCTGATCAGGACAGTCAGCCAGCCAAGCAGCATTCCAGCTGCATCATCTCAGGACTCTTTGACATCAGTTAGGATAACAAATCAAAGAAGATTGGGTTTCATGGGATATTTAGCAGTATTAATGATGCAGTGAATTGATTTGAGTCCTTTATCAGTACATTACATGCTCACTGGCATGGAGCACTTTAAGCAAGTTCATAAACACAAAGAATCGATTGACACTGCAGCCTTGGAGCTCAGCACCAAATTTGATCTGATTACATGCTGTCAGTATTGAAAAATGCTGCTTTGTGATCAATGATAAATGTTTCATTTTTCATACTCAATTCAATAAAATTATCATGTCTTACCATGCAACCTCCGTTACACAAATTAGTGCCAAATCATTCCACAAGCTCACTCTGTACGACCAAGCTTTTGACAATGATGTTAATGACTTTCTTAGCTTAAGAATGCCACAAGATTGAAGGTTCACAACTTAGGCTGATGAAGCCAATCATTACCTCTTTTTCAGCTTCTCGCTCTTCTTCAGAAACTGCAGCATTAGACATTAAAATTGGGGTCCACCTCAGACTCTCGGGATCAAGTTCATTGGACCGGGAACAGGTTTTCAGCTTTTCCATGTGGCTCAATATCAACTTTTCCCTTCTAATGATAACGAATCTGTAATGTGATGAGGCAGAACAAAGTGCAATCAAAAGCTAAAATTTCATTTCACCTTCACATAATGACATATGTTAGCACTAATATTACCCAGGCGAGGAAAAATCAGAAAGCTCATCAACGAAAAGGTACAGCAAATTGAAATTTGACCAGCAAAAAAGCATCATTTCCTGTTTTCTTTTTAAAAGAACAGTTTTAATAATACTGTTGGGAAACCTCTTTAACTGGAATGAATCTGCCCGACTCCTGGATCCTTCCTGGTGTAAGATGCGTGAGAGGTAGCTGGGGTAGCCCAGGCACCAGCACTCACCGGCCGTCCCTCCTGTCGATCATGTGGAGGTGCTGCAGAGTAGTGGCGATGTCATGTGGGCACATGCCCGTAGCTCTGCTGATCGCTTTGATGCTGATGTGCCTCTCGTGGTGGTGGTACAGATACTCTAAGATGACGCTCTTCCAATAGGCCAGGTAGGACAGACGGCCCAGATCAGAGAGCGGCTTTTCAGGGGACCCTGCTTGGCCTTCTCTTCTAGAAAGCAAATAGCCTAGAGCAGAAAAAGCAAAGTCAACCTCACTGCAGTGCTTTCAGACACCGGAACAGGGCAGCTCAAAATAATTTAAGTAGCAACAAGGTGAAAACATCATGTCAGAGAAGTGCATGGATTTTATGTCTGTAGTCCCTTCCCAGTTACAGTGATTTGATCTCCACGAAGTTTGCGCTTCTGAACCTTTTACAGGGATGCTGTAAGGGAACTCACATAGCTGGAAGTAGCAGTCCACACAGAGGCTGTCCCATATGTAACAAAACCAAGGCTGAAGAGGTTACTTCTGATAAGCCTCAGAATGCAAGTCTCACACCAGCTTTAGATTCTTTCAAAAAGTAAATGTCAGGCACTTACTCACAATCCTGTCGAGGGACCACCCCAAACATTAATGGGCAAGTTGTTTTCCGCAGGAAGGACCTAATGACCCTTTGACAGCTGGGTCTTAATAAAAGAGAAAGGCCTCTGTTGACTCAGGTACTATATTGCTTGTTCCATTTAACTGGAGGGCTCTGCAGCTTTGTTTTAGGACTAATGAAAGGATGTCTTTTAAGTCAACTGCTACAACTCAAATCAGCTCCACTAGCTCTATTTTCACCTCTTTCATGGAAATTAATTCATAATCCAAACCCAGAACATTGTTCCTACAAATTAAAACAAAACAAAACAACTTCCTTAAGCAAACTGTTTCACGTATACTCAGAAAATCCCTGAGCACGGTAAGCTTTTGAACATGCATTTTATAGCATTACTATGAAGGTTCCTTGGCAAAGGAACTTTCAAATGAGAAAAACTTTAAATCCACTTGATGGTAATAAATGAAAGCCGGCGGCTGTCTCGGTAATTAAGAGCCACTTATGGAGTAGAGAAGAAATGCTACAAACTAATGGTGTCTACCTTGCTCTAATTATCTATTTCAACAGCTTCACCTTCACAAACTTCCTCAATTTAAACAAACATCAACCACATACAGTAGGTGGCAGCAATTACAAAATCATGGTGCTGTGTAAACCACCCAAAATCTTCAGCATTTTCCTCCTTTATCTACATTTCCAAAATGGCTGCATTCTAAAGAATTTTCTCGATTTTGGATTTTTTGTTAAAAGGAGGAATGCTTCTGATGCATTTTCCTGCCTCTCAAAATCACTATAAATAATGCGGAAATACAGAACAAGAAATCCAACCTGACCCTAGAGGGGTATAACACAGTATTCTGCGTTTTGATGGTTTTAATCTGAATGCCATTATAAAGAATAGGCATATATTGAACTTTAGGTTTTGCTCCAGTCTTCTGACCTATTTGTGCCTTTAACTCATGTTCAAGTGGAAAGATCTGATTGAATGCAAACAAGCGCCACAAAATTTTACAGTCAAATCATTGATCACACATCACTCAGCTTCACACAGAGGCTTTCAAGAGCAGTGTGTCAGGAATGCTAACAGCACCGGCCACTGTGCCGGTTCCAGCCCGTGCCGTTCGTGCCCTGTCAATACGGAGAAAAGCTCTGTGCCAGAGTACAAAGGGTGCCCAAATCTCAGAACACAGATAATTGGCACATGTGTCACCTGCCTCCTAAGTGCTTGGAACACGCTGAGAAATTTACTCAGTCAGCTGGAGGTCCCAGCTCTGTACTCCTGGGGGTTAGAGAAGCAGAGTGCCATGGATATGAAACTATCCCCCCTTTGTCCATGAGATCCCACAATTAAAAGTCCCCTGCAGTGACTGTCAAATTCCCTAGCCCCTCGCTGGTTCTCATCTGAGCTCCACAGTTGGGGACAGAAACCCCCAGCCCTCGGCCTGGCAGAAGCATTTCTGTATAATCCAAATGGTCAGAAGGTGGTATGTGCCCTCCCTACCTTGTATCCCCCACAACAATGAGCAACCTTACTCTGGAAGCACATGTACTTCTTTGTTCTGTCTTCTCTTCCCACAGTCCCTACTCTGGGCTAAGAGGAAGCAGCCAGAATCCCCCCCAGATCTATTTCACACAGCTGTTCATGATTTTACACCCCAAGGTAGTACAGATACACCTTATCAGAGCCTGAGCTGACACTGGTTAGGCCAGTGGAGCTACCAGGTGATCTGGGGTCTGTCGAGAGCTCTTAGGCATAAACCTTTCAGCACTTGCTACTCCCACCATGTTAAGTGGCTGTGCCCTGGGACACTCCCTTGGACACAGTCTGCTGCAGTCTGTGAGTGACACTGCCGCAAAGGGTGCTGGGGCCCTAAGAGGCTGCGGGAGGCAGCAGCCTGCTGAGCACATGCACACTGAGCCCACTGGACTTTCACGGCAAACACCACTAGCAAACACCAAATGGGCTTCCAGGGACGATATACAGCAATGCTCCTGACCACACGATGCCACTGTCCAATGACACTGCCCTACCTACAGCTTGTTGTTCCTTCTCTCTGACCTTGTGAAACTCTCAAGAAGCTTACAACAATGGAGAGAACTTCTACATACTAAGTACCATTTAGGACCATTTGTAAGTCCACCAAGTCTTCTCCTGAAGGATAAATTTTGGGTTTAAAGGAATAAAGTTCCACGATCAGAAGGATGGAGGATAAATTTCTGATTGCTCACTAGTTACGTGAAATCACTTGTAATACATTAAAATACACGGCCGAGAAGATAAAGCTGTGTCATGTCTACTCCACTCCATCTGTGTGCGCACGAGGCTGATGTAGCATGTAATTTAAATGTTACCCATGGCAGACACTTTCCCTAGAAAGAAGCTGTAGCTGGTGCTGACACGTCACTACTTTGACCTTCATGGAATATTTTAAAAAATGAATTTCTTACCATTTTTTGTTTCTTTCTACCTTTCCTAGGCTTCTCAAATCATGATTACTACATAGCCCACTGACAGAATAATTTTTGGTAAGAATGTTTATTTATTAAGTAGTTACAGAGATGTGGTGGTTTAAATTACAGCTCTGAAATTTAACTTACCAAAAAGATGCCAACAAATTGATCTAAGATGCAGGGAAATAAAAAGCACTTATCTTGGAAGCCGACGTACTATCCTGAAGCATCTGAAACAAGTACAGTACACCCCTGGTGAACGGATTCCCACGGAGCTCTGACACCTTTCCTTAACTCAGGATAGTTTCAACCAGAAAACCTGAACTATCCCTGGGGAGACCTGGCTCTTCAGACTGAAAACAAAGTGATGTTTGAAGGATAAACCCCAGTGGCTACAGTATAATTAATTGCTGGTGAAATTATTCCCTTTACATTGTCTGAGCCAGAGATGCTGGTGAACGGCACTTACTCTGTAATCGGAGACTTGGAATTGAAAGCCGACTGCCCGGAAACACCTAGCCAGCATCAACTGTCTTGATACCAGTGAAAGCGGGCTTCCTCTTTTGTTTCAGTGGAAGGTGAGGTCTGAGTTTTAGTGTACCGACCACACACTTAATTCAAAAGAGTATCAAGGTGTTTGCATAAAGGTTGGGTGAGAACAATGAGATGTCTGGAAAAGGTAAGCATTTCTAAGTTTTACCACAGGAGACCCAAACTCACCTCACTCACCTTTGTTAAGGCTGACCTAGTTGGAGTAAGAAAATCAATTGTCACATTAACTAGCCCTGATCCTTGTGTTTGAAATGGTTAACTCCCACCTGAGGGGAGAAACGCCTTCTGGTAGACAGATCTTCAGGATAAGGAAGGAACTATCTAGACAAGGTCAAGCTTTGTTTTTGCAGACCTAAGTTCCCAAATTAATTGAACTCCCAGCATATTAACTGCAAAGTTAACCCTTTAAAAATACAAAACATTCCTTCCTTTTAAACTAGTAGTATTTCAAGACTGTAGACTGGATTGAAGTGAAATAATGTTCTTGTGCAAGGTGTGGTCATGGATAAGGATTTACCCCCACGAAGGCAGGCACCCCCTCAGCCTTGCACACCTTCATCTTCTACCACCTGGAGCCAAACCATACGAACTTCCTCAAATACCAGAGTGTCAACTTTGGCAAGCTACTCTCAACTCCCATCTGTCTGGATTATGTGTTTGGTGTAGCTGGCAGCTTTTAGGAGGAAGATAATCTTCAAGGACTACACACCATTCATCAGACACCTGTTTGTTAGCTTAGCAAAACCTACTGAATTCAGTAGACAGCACTGGGTTTGCAAGCCTGGGAACTGACACCAGGCCAGGGATTTATGGCAGCTCTTGGGCAGAGGAAATCCGATGGCTCTAACCACGTATCTCATGACTGGGGATGGAAATCCACTGGTCTACACTCACCTGTTACTAGTATTTGGCATTAAGCAGCTCTGTGACCAAGTGGATGAATGGCATGTAATTAGTTTAAACAGTGATACATAAACTTGGCAGGTGACACATGTCTCCTTCCCGAAATTTTGTGGTAGTTTTGCAATTAGTTTAGAAAGGAAGCTGAATCGTAGCCTTTCCATTGTTTCAAGAGGAAAGGAGTGTTCTAAGTGACTTGTGACTTGCCTGAATTTTTACTGCTTGCCAAATTTCCCTATAAAACTAACAGGCATGGCCATTATAAATGGAAGCTCTTAAGCAAAAAAAAAATTTTAACGTAAAGATGTCCTGAAACAAAAACTTTTGGGAACCACTGATTTAATGTGAAAACCCCTGCTATTCACGCGTTGCCTCCTAGCAAAAATGCCAATTTTGAGTTTTTTAGACTTTATCTATTTTAAGAATTGGTTTTGAAAATATGGAAGATTAAGACATTTCTCCCATATTTCTATGGGCTTGACTTCTCAACAGACTTCTCAGCCTACCTGCTACAGACCAGGGGTTTTCGGGGTGGGGGCGGTGGGCAGTCCAACAGTATCAGCATCACCTGGGAGCTTGGTAGAACTGCAGGGTCTCAGACTTACAAATCAGAAATATGGTGGGGAGGACCCAGCACCTGTGCTTTCACAAGCCCTGCAGGTGACTCTCATGCATACCAGTTTGAGGACCACCGCTGTAAACTCTGCTATGGAGTCACTAGTTTGGATGAGGACATGAAAACTG